CTCTGGGCAACCTTTTGGGGCAAGTGTTCATTGACCAAACACTGTTCACAATGAAGAAAACTCAGGCTGAGAGGCAAATGGTGTTCCCAAGGTCACATAGAGTCGGGTCCGGCTCCTCGTGCCGCTGGTCCTTCTGGGTCTCTCTCCCAGGAGCCTTCCTGCATCACGTGACCTGTCAGGTGGCAACTGGAGAGGATGGCTGTGCTGTGTAGGCAGGTGGACACAGCAGAGCCTCTGTCCGCCTCCAACCCTCTTTTCCAGGGTCCCAGCGTTCCCGTGGGACAGGGTGGTTTGCTCTAGGGGCTCCCACCCTCAGGCCCCTGACTATTTAATACCCCAGTCCTGCAGCTTCGTGTTCTGATGTGTCCACAGACTGGCAGGACCTTCAGACCAGGCCACTGCCTGCTCCAGCGTGTGGTGATGATAGTCCTTCCCTGAACGCAGGCAATAGGCCAGCCCCTCTGTTCGGCGGCCCAGCCCCTGAGCTGCTATTACTGCCCCATGCTTCCTTCGTGTTTTCATTTGATGACTCTCATTTTGGCTGTTTCCCCATGGGTGCAGCTGTGTGCTGTGTTCTCCGACCAGGCCTCCGTAAGAAAGGGCAAGCTCTCTGAGGAGATGAGGGGATCCCAGAGCCTGTCTGGAGAGAAATAGCCCCCGGGGCAGGGAAACTGGGAGGCTTCTAGAAGCGGGGCTATGTTGACACTGATGCTCCAGTTCGAGAACAGAGTACATCCTTCGCTAAGGTATCAGTTGGCACGTGAGGACAGCACTGCCGAGCCTGGCATTGGTTGGTCTGGACCGTGGGGTTCGATGATGGGTTCTATGAAAATAGGCCACCCCAGAACTACTGAGCTGCCTTTTCATATTATCAATGCAGCTTTTTCCTTTCTCTGTCAACTTTCTATTTATTTATTTATTTAAATATATTTTTATTGGTTTCCTTTCATATTATCAATGCAGTTTTTTCCTTTCTCTGTCAACTTTCTAATTATTTATTTATTTATTTATTTATTTAAATATATTTTTATTGGTTTCAGAGAGGAAGGGAGAGGGAGAGAAAAATATAAGTCTTTGTTTTACTGTGGTTGCAAATATCAAAAAATTTCTATATGTGCCACGGCACCAGAGTTAAGTTAGGGTTTTTCAAAATGCTGACACGCCAAGCTCAAAAGGTTCGCCATCACTGGCTGAGGGAGACGAACAGCAGCTACACGGCGGCCTGGCCTCTTCTCTGTGAGCCAGCCAGGACCCCACCCACGTGTCTGGCAGGGTCTCACCCACCTGCGCCTCAGCATCACTTGCACTCCACACACTCTGAGGCTGCCTCTTGTCTTGAGAGGCGAAGAATAATAAATGCTTCGTTCCACCTTCGATTTCCTGACCGGGCATCAAACCGTGACCTCCTGGTTCAGAGGTCGGTGCTCAGCCACGGAGCCCGCCAGCGGGTGCTAAGCAAATGCTAACATTTACATAAGCACTTGCTTCTGACCCAGGCAGTCTCCATAGTGTCACCTTATGAGCATAGTCCATCTTTGTTATTTTCTTAAATTGGATAAATGCACACGAGGGGGAGAAGTCCAGAAAGGCATTTACAAATGACAGGTTTGAGCTGAATTGTGAAATTATTGGGCATTTATTTTTCAGTTGCCTGTTCCCCACTCTTTGTTTATGTCATAAAATCACTATATTATAAGATCATATTTAAAATCCTGAGATTGTCTGACATCAATACAATACAGTGTAGCATTTGGGAGGTCATAGGAAGAATGAAGGGGTTGAGAAATATGCCCTGAAAATAACAAAATAGGTAAAATGCCGTTAGGGAAGTGGAAGACGAGAGTTCACATTAAATTCCTGGAACATTATATCCAGTTTTGTTAGATTCGTGTGTTTTTCTCTTCAAGTCACAGGTAGGAAACTGCATAACTGCCTCAATGTTGTATAAAGGTTGTCACCTCAGATTCCAAGGAGACAGGGAAGTTATAAATAATTCACATTTATGTAACCTAGACCTGAAGGTCGGGGAATTAAAGAGCAGAGATGCTGAGTAGGAATTCCCGTCAGTCTGTCTCCCACAAATAGCCTCCCGCCGGCCCGAGTTATCAGCTCACAGCCCGGCGAGTGGTCCCTCATCACCAGCTTCCCCCCTTCTCATCTGGGAGGATCCGTGTTCCTGGCAGAAATACCTGCACCCCTGGACCCACCCAGGTCGTATACCCAACGACAAAACCCACGTAGTTTATTTCAGAGAGGAAGGGAGAGGGAGAGAGAGACATCAGTGGTGAGAGAGAATCATGGATAGACTGCCCCCTGCACGCCCCACACTGGGGACGGAGCCCACAACCTGGGCATGTGCCCTTGACCGGCATCAAACCCGGGACCCTTCAGCCCACAGGCCAATGCTCTGTCCACTGAGCCAAACTGGCTAGGGCCTGATTTTTTTTTTTATGCTGATTGGATGTGAACCGGGAGATTCACTTTCCTGAGTGTCTTGCCCCGTTGGCTCTGTGTTGTGGCAAAAATACCTTGTCATTCACTGGCGTGCGTCTCTGCCATGCATTGCTACATTCTGACCTAGTATCTCCCCACCGACCAGATGCCCTGCTTGCCTTTTTAGTTGATAAAGAGAAGTGATCCCAATCAGGGAGCAGGTCCCCTTCACCCCTCTGCCCACCCCACTCCCGTCCACACCTGGTGTGACTTTGGTGTCAGCTTGTTGTTGTGCAGAAGTCGCAGCAGCCCAGCAGTGCTTGGTCCCTATTTTGAGGCACTTTGAGCCAGGGCTGAGTCTGTTCTTGTCCAGTTTCCTGCATAGCCAGTCATGAGGAAGGAAGATGGGCAATAACATTCCACCTGTCAGATAGCCCTGTGCATCATACTTTGCTGAGAAAGATGTGAAAGCACACAGCTGACTGGAGATGGGGCTTTTGCTGGCTGTGCAGAGTTGGAAATTTTCCACACGAGAGTGTGTTTCTGAGCGACCTGGGAGTGGGAACCACAACCACAGACCCCGCTGGCCCCCAGGAGCTGCTGGTTGTGCCAGCAGGAGGTGTGGAGCCTTGGGCTTGGGTACAGAGAGGCTGGGCCAATGAGCCTGCCTCGGGTGTGAGAGGACAGGTGTGCTGGGAGGAAGGGGAAGGGAGACGCCCTTGGTGCAAACGCTGCAGGAGGTGGTGCTGGTAGGCACTGGGTGGGTGGCAGCAGTCAGTGCGTTATGCTGCTAGCCGCCCCGCAAGGTGAGGCGGGCGGCCAGGTAGGGACTGGACCACCCCCAGCAGTGCTGAGGTCTGCCGGTCCCCCTGCTGGGTCCTTCTCCATCCGGGCTGGCAGTGACAACGAGGCCCTGTCTGTGGCCCTTAGGCCCCTCTTGCCTCCTCTCCCAGTGGCCTCCATGAGGTCGATGGCTCACCTTGCCTTTCACCCACCTGTCTGTGCTAAGGCGGTACGGGGGGAGCAGGGAAGCAGATCCTCACTGTTGGTCAGCAGGCTGTGGACCAGGCCATCACGGTGCCAGGTTATGTTCCCCGTGGCCCTTGCCTGAGGCACTGCAGTCATCGCTGCATCTCTTGGCATATTACTCTGACCTGATTTGGCCAGGCCTGCCTGCCTGTCATTTTCTCATTGTGCTCTTGTGAGATGCCACACGGAGTCAGGCTTGAAGCTTGACTCGCTGAAGAGCCTGAGCCTTCTGACAGAGGCAGTTTACCTGGCTCCACTTGGCTGTTGGAAACAGCCCTGTCGGTCCTCCTTGAGGCAGGAGAGGAGGAAGGAGGCGCCAGCTGGAGCGGGTGATTCAGAGGCAGGGAGTGAGCAGCAGGACGAAGCTGGCCAGGAGAACTCTCAAAAGCGCTGTCAGCAGATGGGCTGTGAGTGCCTAGAAAGCTTCTGTGCTCTGTAGCCAGCACCCGCGCCAAATCTGCGACCCATTCTTCCTGTGCTTCAGAATCACCAGGTGGTGAGACCGGGGCAAAGCCAGATTCGCCGCGCTGTGAGCTGGGAAGACTTCCACTGGCTTTCTTAGATAGGATGGGAAGCTCTTGGCTTTGGTTTGAAGAGGGCGTTTTCCTTTCGCTTCACACTTCAGAGGTGTACGCAGGGACTTCCGGTGCATGTGGGAAGCGCTAGCCCTGCTCTACACATGTGGATCCCCCCCAGCTGCAGGTGGGCAGTGAAGCGAAGAAGGGGAGGGGCCTGTGGGCAGCGGGCCTGGCTGAGTGGGGGGTGAGGGATTGGAGAGAAAGGCAGTTCCTGATGGTCCCCTCCCCAGGGGCTGGCTTTCCTCTGGTCCTTCCCTCCCAATGACTGCGTTTTCGTCGAGGCTGCAGCCCTGGGCTCTCTGTGCCCACACCTCTGGCACAAGGCTGCCTGGAGACCCATTGGCGGCCTTTCCTTAGACCACAGAACCCTCCCTGCTACACCTGGAGGCTGATCTGCCACTCCCTTGGTCCAGCTAGGACAGCGGGGTCCTGCAACCGAGTCTCTATGTGGCGCCTGTGAGCATCAGTGGCCAGACCTGCCCTTTGCCAGTGGCCTCACCTAATGGCCAGGCACGCAGCTCAGGGAGGGACACGGTAGGTCCAGGCAGACATGGTGGCCTCCTCCTCTGACAGTCCAGAGTGGCACATCCTTAGTGGAACAGCTTCAGAATAGCCCTTCGTCCCGGTGGGGCTCTGGACCAGTGGGATTCCAGCAGGGATGGACTGGCAGGGCTCCTACCACACTGACCGAGGCAGCCTGGGTGCCACAGACACTGCCAGCCGGCCTTGCTCGGAGCATGCTTATGCCTGAGAGAGACCAGCTCTTCTGGGGTGAGGAGACTTGTGTCTTCTGTATTGACTAGGATCAGGTGGCAATGCTGGGAACCCTGTCAGCTGTACCTGGTGGGTGGGGCACCTGGGGTCCTGGGAGGCCCAGCATGCTTCCTGTCTCTGCACTATGTCCTGGATGATTCTGCTGACTCATCGTAAGCTGTGTCTAACCTGCTGTTAAATCCACTGCTGAGTTGTAGTTCGCGGTTATCTATGCCTCCCACTTGGGAAAGTTCTTTCTGGCTTCGTGAACCCCTTTTTCTCTGTGGATATTCCCAAGCTCCCTGTTTTCTGCGGTGAGAGTGTGGTGAGTTTACGAGTCGTGCAGGGATCTCTTTCTGCTGGTTCTTGTGCTTGGTGCTTTGCTCTGTTAGGCGGTTCTTTCTGACTGTGTACTGCTTTGTCCTAGAAATTATTTGTGAGACTTCTTGGAGGTCTGGGGTGAAGATGAGGATTTTGGTTTGCTAGGTGCCCGGGGGCACTGCCAGTGTGGGACTCCTCAAACCACGTCTTGGCGTGAGGGTTCCTGGACCCCTGGTGTGGCCCTGGCTCCACTCTCGGAGCTCCTCAAGGACTTCCTCCCTTGTAGGCTGTCCCTGCGGCCCCTGGTGGCTATGGATATAGCCCACCCTCGCCCTCTGAATGTTGCTCCTCGGGGTCCCAGCTTCCCTTGGAGGGTTTCCTACGAGGTCCCATCTTGAGGCAGTCCTGGGTTTTGTCTTCTGTCCCTCACTCCCAGGGTCACCAGAGCCAGGTTTGCCCAGATGAGTCAGTGCCCCAGGGCAGCAATGCTCCAATCTCTGTTTTTCCCATCTCTGGATTCCTACGTTCTCCAAGATGTTGGCTAAATTCTACCTGACCAGTTAGCTCTTGGCTGCTTTTAAGATGTTTTCACATTCTCTAAAGCATTTTGAGTTTTTACCAAGAATGTTGGTTCCATCAGGCTGCCCACAAATATTGGGATGGTCAGGGTGCCCACGGATGGAGGCCAGCAGCCCATCTCCTATGGCTGTACACCCCCTAGCACCTTGCACTTCTGCTAGTTACCATGGCAACACCTCACATAGCTACAGGCTTTACTGAGGGCAAAGGTAGCTCCCCTGTGGCCCTCACCTTTGCCCATGCCTGAAGGGGCCAGGGGGCCAAGTCCTGGGGGACCCTCCAGGGCTTGTGGGAACCAGTGGAGATAGTGGTGGAGTCAGTCCTTCCCCCCACCTCTCACCCCAGCCAGACCAGTGAGCAGAAGGGAGTGGAGTGGTGGGAACACCCTGGCATTGTCCACAAGAAGGCCCCAGGAGCTAGGCAGCCTCAGAGTGGCTCTCAGCTGAGGTTTCGTTCGTGCTGACAGCCTTGGGCCTTGGCCCCTCCTTGGCTGTTGTATACTCTGTGGCTATAGCCCCTGCTGCCCGCCCACCTGCCCATGGGGTGCTGGCAGGGAGATGGCCTTGAAGTGCTGGTGAGCGTCATGCTGTTGGGCACATGACTCTGGCATGTCTAGGGAAGGCCAGGGGCATTACAGAGCTGGTTCTGTTCAAAGAACATTGCAGGTTTGGGACGGTGGATCTGTTGTCTGCTGGCTACTCAAATCATTTTTTTTTTCCTTTTCCCACAGACTGTGTAACCCTGTGTGAGCAAAGCCACCCTCTGGGACCCATGTGCATCATCTTCTTTAAGTTCGATCCTCGCCCTGTTTCCAAAAATGCGTACAGGTAACCCCTCACTCTGAGTCTGCCGCCATCTGCTCAGCCTCGGGTGCCCCACAGGCCACAGTAGCCATGTAGGTGACCCAGGCAGGGGAGGCACGCCGCTGCTGCCCAGGCGGGGGGAGGGCGGCCCTGGGACGAGCTGCACAGGCCTGGCAGTGCCTCTCAGACCGTGGTCACTCAGCGTGGGCGCTGGAGGGAATACCCCTCGGCGGTAAAGACCCTGAGCCGATGTACAGATTGTACAAATATACTAAGACTCAGCCTCTAAAGATGCCTGTGCGGGCGGGACAGAGGAGTGAAGTGGGTCCCGGCAGCGGCACATCCCTGTGGGCTGACAGAGGACCGGGGGCAGCGGAATTGGGGTGCGGGAGCCCCACTTGCACTGGCTGGTCTAGGTTGCCGGAAGAGGTCTGGGTAATGCGGTCAGGGTGCGGGTTCCTGTTGTCTTTGGGACTTGCCCATGTTGTTACTGAGGCAGATTTTCTTTGTTAACTAGAGAGAGAAGAACGTAGCTTCTCTGTTTTGACCTGAGAGTCTCAGTCATGCTTTCTTCTTCAGGCTCATCCTGGCATCCAACAGGGATGAATTCTACCACAGGCCATCCAAGATGGCAGAGTTCTGGGGCAACAACAACGAGATCCTCAGTGGTGAGTCTTTCCTCGTGGTGGGTGGCCACAGCATGGCAGGAAGTGCCAGCCCCAGACGCTTCTAGCAGTTACGGTGCTGCTTCCCTGTGTACATTCGGAATGAATAAGTGGACACCGATGGGTCTAATGGGGTCGGCTCCAAAGTCTCGGTCCCGGGACAGTGTTGGGCTGGCCAGCCCCAGAATTGTCCACCCAGCACTGTCCCCGTGGCTTCATGTGTCGTGGATCCCCAGAAGAGGTAGCTGGAAGGATCAGTTGGTTTTATTTGGATCCACATGTTCCCTGTGGACATGCAGTTGTATTGGTGTGAGGGTGCAAGTCCACCCTCTATCGCTCTGTGCAGCATCATAGTTGTGTGTGTGTGTGTGTGCGCGCGTGTGCGCACATATGTATACGCACACGTGTGTGCACATCTCTGCACACATTTCTGTTTACAGACAAGCACCCTTGGTCCAGTGAGAGCTGGTCTGAATTTGGGGAGCAGAGGTTTGGTTGGGGCACCTTTGGGTGGGAACCTCACGAGGGGTTCCTGTGGAGGAGAAGTGAAGGTGACAGCCAGGTCCCTTGCCCACCCAGCTGAAGCCTCCCTGAGCCACTTGGACAGGGACCAGTTCCTGCCCATGGGGTGGGCAGGGGTTTACTTGGGGGGCATGCAGACAGGTGTTGGCTAGGCCAGGAGTCCCTCTGCCTGGGAGCCAGGTGCCAGGCAAGCACAGGGGAGCCTGGCAGAGTTGACAGGGTGCCCAGTGTGCTGGGCAGGGTGCCCTCGCGGGCCCAGGGAGGCAGCGTGTGCTCTGCTCCGCCTGCAGTGTCTAAAAGCTCAGCTATGGAGCTTCCTGTGTAGACGATGGTTGGGCAGTGGTGTGAGGGAAGCACTGTTAGACCATCCTGGTGCTGGGTGACAGGAGGACAGGAGTGGGGGGACCAGGGCAGGGCGCTGTCCTGGGCAGGAGGTCTCAGAGGTGGTGGGGAAAGCTGCCGAGAGGCTGGGAGTGGGGACTCAGGATGACTGAGTGCAAGAGGGAGGAGAGGCTGGGTCCCGGCCATCTTGGGCTAGGATAGAACAGAAGGGGCTTATGGGATAGGGCAGGCTGTGTGTGTCGCTGCTGCACACAGGGAGGCTGAAGTGTGTGTGTGTGTGTGTGTGTGTGTGTGTGTGTGTGTGTGTTGTGTTGAGGGGGCCTTGTCGGGATGAGTGGGGTGAGGGGCTGTTGCCTTGGGGTAGCGGGGCAGGATTTCTGTAGATGAGGTTTGGATGAAAGGTTAGACTGCCTGGGCCATCCTGGCCACCTGGGCTCCACCCTACCCTGGCACCTGGGCCAGCACCCTGCCCCTGAATCAGTGCCAATCCTGGCTGGGAAGCTCCAGCCACTCCGAATTGTTCATCCTTTGTAGTGATTTGGAGGAGGCCCCTGGCATGCTGAGAAGGAGCACCAGCCTGGTGGGAGGGAGGCCTAGCTGCAGCACAGGCTGGGTGAGCCCAGTGGCTGCTGCACGCAGCTTAGGGGCAAACACACCAAAGTCAACGGAACAGGCAGCGGGTGGGTGCGCTGCAGGCCTGGATGTGTACCGGGCTCCCAGTGAAGCTCTCGCTGTGAGGGTCCTGCGCTTTCTGCCGGAGGAGGACAGCCAGCCACCCTTGCACCAGATGCAGGATGAGGTTCCCGCGATGGAGCTGGTGCTCTGCTTCCGGCCCAGTGCCAACCCAAGCTCCAGGATGCTGTTGGCATCAGTTGGCCTGAGGGGTGGAGCGTGGGGAGGGCATCTTTCCAGTGTCTTGCTGCCCCGCCCTGTGGAGTCAGATCCCCTGTTCCACAGCCAGGGCTGTGGGACTGAGGTTCGACTGCCCAGGACACAGGGAGGGGGTGGGTACTGCTGGTGGTGATGCTGGCGTCTGTCCAGGGCTCGACATGGAGGAAGGCAAGGAAGGAGGCACATGGCTGGGCATCAGCACTCGGGGGAAGCTGGCAGCGCTCACCAACTACCTGCAGCCGCGGCAGGACCCAGATGCGAGGGGCCGAGGTACCATGGGGCGGGGGCGGGGTG